ACATTGGCATGATGTTAAAATCTAGAAATTAATTTTTCTTGTCCAGAATTCTTCCACTCCCAGTATTATGGCCTAGGACAGAAATACATTTTAAGAAGGGGTGTGTGTCTGTTCTGTTTTAATGTGGATAAAGCAAATGGCTTTAAAGCAGAAATGAAAACCTCTCCTCAGCAATTTATCCTTCCTGGTTAAGACGTGTCTCTGCTCCCCTTCCTAACTAGATTTTGGATGCCTGTGGCAGAAAACCAAACTTAGGATTTGGCAGCATTTAATTATTATTTATAGCTATTGTTTACAACTCCTCTCCATACGAGGTTAATTATCCTCTTGTAACAATCTGGTTTGTGAATTTTCCATACCCTTGTCTGTCTGTACACCTTTTGTTGATACTTCCTGGTAAACTTTTGACCATATTTTAATTTGCTAGTAATTTCATAAAGGAGAGGTAAGTAGGCATAAAAGAACTGAAAGTGAAGTTCTTGATAATTGCTTTTCTTGTTCTGAGAGAGAAGAGATAGTAGCAGGGGAAAGGTGGGAGGAGAGATTCCTCACATGTTGTGTGTCCTGTAGGGTAAAGGTTGCATGCTCCATAGCTTAGTATTAGTCTCTACTCGATTGATGCTAAAGAATACTTCTTGAGTTAAAAGTACTTTTTATATTGCCTTTTTCTACTACTTATTATCTTGTAACTGCAAATTGATTAGGTTTTAAGTGGATTACATGCAGAATCCCAAGTAACACACCTGATCTTGACCTCCCAAAAGCTGGAACTTTCTTTTGTCTTCTTGTCTGTGATTTAGGATTCTCTTCCCTTGGATCGATCATGAGTCAATTCTTAAGGATATCTGTGCTGGTGGAATTCTTTGACAACATCTACATTTTGAAAACCATTAACTCCAAAGGAATAATTCTAATGGTGGGCATTCTGGGAACCATGGTGGCCTCTTCTGGGATCCTGGCACTATACCTTTTAGACGGACACTCGTTTTCTTTATCAGGGAGTAAAGCAGGGAATGATCTTGATTGATTTCTCAGTACCGACAAGACTGCCTAGCATATATTTCCCTTCCCAAAGCTGGCAGCACACATAGCCTCTGAGGCCAATGACTTACTGAGCTGATGATACTAGTGATTAATATTCCTGCCAGGGAAGAGAAATAAAGTGCTCACCTGCTGGGCTGCATTAGCTCTCTCACATTTTCAGGGAATGCTGTGCGCACTGAATGATGTGGCTTACTAAAATTCAAATAGAGGAGGAGTGTTCATTTGTCTTCTGGAAAAGGAACAATTAACTATCCTCTCAGCATATTCATTAGTAGCATTGCAGTAAATACAACATAACTGTTATAACCTAGCTCACTACAAACATTCTAGTATACCAAGGATTCAGTTGGTTCCCTGAGACATCATTTCCTAGAGAAAGGGCCATATTTAATTCAATCAATGCAAAGTAAGAGTAGCCTTATATCCACAAGATCATTACACAACTCAATTAAACAAACATTAACTTAACACCTACTATCTGTAAAGCACTGGGTAATATAAATCACTGACATTTGTATTGTTCTTTGGCATAATATTATTTAACTCCTCACATCAACTCTACCTGGTTATTATCTCCATTTTACAACTGAGGAAGCAGGCTGAGAAGACGACTTGCTATTGAAGATCACCCAGCTAACAGGAAGTAGAGCCAGGACTTGACTTTTTCACTTATCGCAACTTCTTGAAAAGGTAGTAAGTTACACTCTTGTTCTCAGGAAGCTTAGATACAAAATGGGTTCCACTTTACTGAGGACAACAGTGCACGTGAAAACATCCTTTCGCCAGAATACAGGTTGGTGGGGTTGTTAAGGATAGACATACTAAAATACATTTAGATTTAAATCAGCTGGAAATATTCCAAACACATATGACATGCTCCACTGCCTAAAACCTCATAAGTCTTTCTTTGGTGATAAAAGAGCTTTTCATTGCTTTCAGATCATCCTAACCTTTAGAGTTCCTGAACAGAGTGGTCTGGAATGGTAAAGAAGGTATGGAAAAGGGGTGAAGAAGCTTTGGCTTTTGAGCCCGACTGGTTTTCAGCTTACGTTCAACATTTTATTTTTATTTTTTATTGTTGATAGTATTACAGATGTCTCCCATTCCTCCTCCCCCAATCCCCCCAGGTCTTCACAACCCTATTGCCATGGGCTATGCATATCTTAATAAAAGGGTAATATGCAAATCAACCAAATGGTGTTGCAACTTGTCGCTACGATGCATACTGATCAGGGGGCAGATGCAGGAGCTGTCCCCTGGTGTCCAATACTAATGTTGTGGCAATCGGTTGCTAAAATAGTCACTGCTAGTATCAGTGGAGAGAAATGGTGTGCCTGCATGTAAGGTGCATAGGGAAATGAATGCAACACGATTATAGTAACCAGTCATTAGCGAATGTTGTATTTTGCTATTAATAATTATGTATAACAGGATATTATAAAAATTAAGTTACAACTTTTATTAAAACATTTCTTTCTTACATACCATTATATTGGCTGGGCTGTAAAAATATTTGTTGTGGGCCACATGCAGCCCATGGGCTGTAAGTTTGACATGCTTGCTCTAGGGAATTTACTGACTTCCTGTTATAATCATTGAGATTTTTCTTTCTTTCTTTCTTCTTTTTTTTTTTTTTTTTTTTGATATTTTCTTTCTTACTCAACTTTTTTCTCCATTTTCCTGATAAAATTACAATTTTTAGTTAAACCAGTACTTAATACTTACACTATTATGATTGTATTATTCACTGCTGATTAAGCAATGTACAATGATTATCTGCTGTGATATGGATGTTTGTTTTCTTGGAGTTATTTCCTTTTCTTTCATTTGCTTAATTTTTTGTGCACGTACTATTTGTTTGTCTCTAATGCATCAACATATCTGTTGCATGCCTGGCAATCATTTTTTCAACTTCTCAAACACATCAAATATCCCATCAGTTCCTTTTCCCCTGGCCTGGAGGCCTCCCTCCACAGCATTAGTCCTCTCAATCTAATCTGGACAGTGGCTTTCTAGCCCAGCTGCCATGCTAGGACTTTCCTCAGCCATTTTGGTTTAGGGATTGTTTTTGAGAGATTTGCTGATGTGAATATAACTAGATTGAGGAAGCATTAGTCTTTAAAGAGAATCCTAAATTATTAATATACTACTGGCCTGATGCACGAAATTCATGCAAGAATAGGCCTTCCTTCCCCCGGCTCCCTGGGACCTGGGCTTCCCTGGCAGCACCGGCTTCATTCAGAAGGTCATCCAGAAGGATGTCCGGAAGGACATCTGGTCTAATTAGCATACTAACTTTTTATCATTATAGATACTGCTTACATGTCCTGGTTCATCAGACTGTGAGGCTACATAAAATGAGGTTATATTTGTTTTGGATGCCCAAATTATAATGGCTCCAATCTTCACAATTTGAATGTAAGCTCTCTAACTTTGCAAAGTGCCCTCTGAGTTTTTCTGTGGGTCCCTAAGAGGTACTCCCATGTGCTCACTATCTCATCTATCCAAAGGCTTTTGCATGTTCTTCCATTTCTGCTCTGACCCCTGGCCAACACGTATTGCCCTGAATGCTGTTTGAAGTATCCCTCATGCTGAGAGAATGCCTCACTGTGGATGGTATCCCTCATAAGGTCAGTGCTGTATTTTTCAAGGGTGTTTTCCCCCTGATTTTGCCATTTCCAAGAAAACCAGGGGGTACTAGGCTTGATGGGAGGAAGTAGAAATGACCCTTTCCCAAATTCCACACTATATTTCATTCCCCTCCTCCGTTGCTCAAAGGTTAGAGCCCACAGTCTCTCAGCTCCTTGCCCCTAACCCCTCTGTCCAAACCAAACATAATTCACAGTCACAACCAGCAGCTAAGCACTCATTTCTCCAGGACAACACAAAAGCTTGAAGGCTCAGACATACATCTCAGAATTTATTACCAAACCAGAATGTGTAATGTTTATGTTCTAGCCAATTTCTCCAGAGCGGCAGTCAACTCCACAGCGAGAAGACGTCTCCATGCTGGAGACCGAACACTACATGCACCTTTCAGATGGGCCTCTTTTTCTGCTAAATAAGATTTAAATGCTTGCATTTGCGTCTCCTCTAAAGCCAAGAACCATGTTGTAAATCTTCAAGTATGTCCACGTTCTTTTAGAAAACCCCTAATATTTGTTTTCCTTGGGAAAATCTGGAAACCTCCTTCAGATATCTGTTGGTAATACAGCAGAATTGAAAAACTATTTCAGACTTTTCACTAATCAGACTGATGTTTGCTCTAAAATTGTGATAATTTGCCAAGTTGGAATTTTCAAAGAATACTTAAGGGTGGAGATGCTGTCAACAGAGAGAGCAGCTAGCAGATTATAAGGGAGGAAAGATTTTTTTTTTCTTGTGAGATTTAAAGTACTACTGTGCTGGTCTTTTTCCAAATGAGAGAATTATTTTCAAAACGTGGGCCATGCTGTTTCAGGAAGAAATTTCAGGTGGTCCATTTCCCCCTCTTTAATGATCCAGTTTTCTTTACTTAGTGAATGAGGACAGTTAGGCTCACAATTTACCCTATCAGTAAGAGGGAGAGCCAGGATCTTAATCCAGCTCAATTTGACTTCAGAACTGTTGGTTCTCTTCTGTGTACTACATCGTGATGTGTCATTTTGAATGGGTACAGAGGTGACCCTAAAAAAAGAGGAGCTGATCTGGGGAATTCCTGGTCATGTGGATTGCCTGGGATTTCCCTGGCATATGCAGTGGTTCCCTGTAGACACATACTCTCTGGTGAAGGGTGATTTGCATAGCACCCCCTGTGCAAGTAAGCCTAATCCCAAATTTCACTGTCCCAGTTCTTTCTTCAGTTGCCTTTTCTTCAATTCCCCCCCCCCCTTTTTTTTTTGAGAGATACCAAGTAATTGGTTGCTGATCCTGCACTCTGCTCTCTATAAGCCATCCAGATGGTAGACTCAGCTTACCTTTCCTATGACATCTGTTAACAGCTTGAGGGCCAGGGGATCATGAACCAAGGAGTCTGTGTAGAAGGAACCCAGGTACTTCCTTGGGTTGATTGGATTGTCCTGGGCACACAGGTCTGGGCGCACACTGAATCCATGGGAGATTCTTCCTACTGTAAAGGGGAAGGCTCCACCTGCAAGTAAAACCCATTACTGAGGGCTTGCTTCGGTTGAAAGGGATTCCTTTTTTATTTATTTTTATTGGTTTTAGAGAGAGAGAGAGGGAGGGAGAAGAAAGATAGAGAAACATAGATGTGAGAGCGAAACATCAACTGGTTGCCTCCCACAGGGGGATTGAACCTGCAACTTGGTCATGAATCCTGACTTGGAATCAAACCCATGATCTTTTGGTGTATGGGACAATGATCCAACCAACTGGCCAAAGATTCCTTTTAATCCTCATGGATTCCTTTTAATCCTCATGCTATATGCAAAGAAAAGTTACAATAATCCAGCTGGTTAACAAAGGACCTGCTGGGTTCCAAATGCTGAGAGATGACCCAGAAGAACCCACAGGAACTCATCTAGAAATTCAGATTTGAGGAATTTATCCTAAAGAGAGAAGACAAGTGTATAAAGATAAGTGGTCAAAGTTTTCAAATGGTGTAATCATATGAGCAAAATATTGAGGCAACTTATAAGTTAGGGAATATCTAAATAATAATTATAACATCTAAAAATGTATTGCCATGCTTTCAGTGATAAAAAATGATGAAGTTCTATACTTATTGACCTGGAAGATGTCTCTATATGCTGGTGAGAAGGAAAAAAAAAATTAGAGAGCAGCACGAAGAGTTTGATTGTGTGTGTCTGTGTGTCCAAGAGTCACAAACTCAATTACTTATACAGTCCAAGCAGGAAATGTAAATGAATAAAATAGGCCTATTTTAAACAATAGTGAATGGTAGGCATTACTGCAAAACTGGACATCTTGTAGTCTGACAGAGATTTAAATAAAACAAATCAAAACAAAATAAAGCAAAAGCTGTGCCAATCAAACTAAACTTGTCTGCAAAAATGGAATTTGGTCCCTTAAACCATCATATACTTTAGGACTAGAATGATTACTAGAAGGATATTAAGGACTGAATTGTGTCCCTCCAAAATTCATATGTTGAAACCCTAATCCCCTAATGTGACTGTATTAGGAGATAGGGCCTTTAAGGAGATAATTAATGCTAAATGAGGTTATAAAGTAGGACCCTAATCTGGTAGGGCTGGTATCCTCATAAGAAGAGGAAGAGACAGCACAATGATTTCTCTCCCTCCTTCCCTCCTTCTCTCTCACTCTCCTTTCCCTCCCTCTCTGTGAATGCACAGAGTAAAGGCCATGTGAGAACACAGTGAGAAGGTGGCCTTCTACAGTCCAAGAAGAGGGGTCTCACTGGAAGCCAAGCCTGCCAGCACCTTGGTTTGGAACTCTAGAACCGTGAACACATTAATTTCTGTTGTTTATACCACCTAGTTGGTGGTGTTTTGTTATGGCAGCTGAGCTGAACAAAACAGATGGGGTCTTACCTCCATGTGCAAAACACACTTTCAGTTTAGGAAACTTTTCGAACACTCCACCCATGATCATGGAGCAAATGGCTGTGGTGGTCTCTGCCGGCATTCCTGAAAGAGGAAACAGTCACAAGGTACAGGGCTTGTCATCTCTCACATGATGTTCAGTGATGCTCACTGTGGGGATCTGTAATTGTCAGTGCCGAGAAACGTGGGGTCCCTGCGCCCTAGCATGGCTTGCTTATATACAGACTATTACTTTGGCGAGCAGAACTATCTGATGCTTCCTATTTGCCACGTGCAGGTAGAGTCACCTAATGGCTAGAATAGCTAAGGAGCCAGAGGACCTGTTTTTTTGTCCTGATTCCCCCAGCTTCAGTTTGGATGCAGTGGGGCAAGACAGTACAATGAGTCTGAGCTGAACCCTAACTCCTCCCATTTTTGCTTCCCAGCCTTTGGCAAGGTATTTAAAGCCCTGGAGCCTGTGAGATGGGGACAGTATAGCCCAACTTGCAAGGCTGTTGTGGAGGCTTGAAAATGATGTCAGGAAAGTTCCTGGCCAGAACTTCCCATTAGAGATGCACAAGAAATATCAATTGCCTCCCTGTGCCTCAGTTTCCTCATCTGTAAATGGTTGGGATGATCATTGTTCATTCTTGCCACTTAGTAAGTGCTCAATAAATGTTGACTCATATTAATATTCCTCCCAAATTTTTGCTGCTTCTTAGAGCTGAGGTTGAAAATAACTGGACTAAGTCCTGGCCCGGTAGCAGCTCAGTTGGTCAGAGCATCATCTTGATTGTGGGTTTGATCTCCAATCAAGGCACATACAAGAATAAACTAATGAATGCATAAATAAATGGAACAACAAACATGGTTCTCCTCCTACACCCCAAATAAAAAAGAAAAGAACTGGATTAAAGTGAATGATTTCAAGCTCCTCGAAGTGGTTGTTTCATGCCTGGTGTCTTTACTTCCTTGGACACAAGTCTGCGTTTGGTTTTCAGATGATTGCTTTCCAGACTGTGGTTAAGGAATCTCTATAGGCGCCACAGCTGAGCCTGGCACCTTCTGGGGAAGCCTGCTTCTCCAGCTGCCTAATGGGGCTTTAGCGGGTGCTCATTTCTGCCCCATGGTTCTGTGGACAGCGACACCCTGGCTCCCTGCCTCTGGGGAATTCTGGAAGCATGATAGACCAATGTCCACCTGAAATGGCAGAGCTTCATGAAGGCAGGAGATGAACAGCATCACTTCCTTCTGGTCCTGTGATTCTGCTTCCCATTATTACTTGGGCCATAACTCATACAGGAGCCAAAGCAGGATATCTGCAGTGTAAATTGGAGTATGGCCCACCCCTGCCAGAAATCCTCCAATCACCAATAACCACCTTTACATCAGAATAGAATTCTGAAATTAACCTGTTTGTTTATGAACTGTGTGCCTGCTTATGGTCTCTTTCCTCCAACCAGAACATAGACCTCAGGAAGGCAGAGGTTTTATCCACGTCTGTATCCTTGGTGCCTAGCACAGGGCCTGACATGCTGCAGGACATCCGTGTATATGTGTTGCATAAATGAATGATGAAGTGGCCCTTTGTTCTCTCCTGTTTTTCATGTGGGAAGTTGCCACGTATATAAGTCTGTGGGACTTGTCAAAGTGCTGTGTGAATGAGAACAAGATTTTCTTTGAAGCTGGAAAGCACTGGGGCTTCTTAGGTGATCTCTTTCTATTAATTCCTGCTCAAAATTTGGTGGGGGAGTAGATGGGAAGCTACCTTACTAAATATGCGGGTCTCCAAAAGCAATGCCAGGGGCATAAAATATCAGAGAAGAAGGAGAATCCAAACCAGTCTCTCACTTTACAGATGAGGAACTGAGGTGTCAGGAGGTGAAAGGACTTGCCACTGGTTACATAGAAATCTAGCCGAGCTGGAACTGAAATTCAGGTTTACTTTCAACACACTGTTCTATTTAATACTTTATGGTGGTTACTTCATAATCACCTGTATCAACGAGGCTGAGAGGGAATGGGTAATGGCCTCCCAAAGGAAACCCAGCCCTGCTCTGCGGGGACCACTCCTTGGCTTTGTGGATGAGCTGCACTTCTCCCACGTGGCCCCAGGATTCTAAGCTGTCTTCATGTCTTTTTTTTTTTTTTTTAAATCAGGATGCTAATGAGAGAGTGGACTGGCTAAAGGGAGGCCTCTCCTCTTTCCCTGTTCTCATCTGAAACCATGAATGAATGCAGGAGGCAAAGAGCAGAAGAAAGGAGCAGGTAACAGAAATTGAAAGCCTGGGTCACCCGTAATTGAGGGCCTCCGATTGTTGGCGGTGTCAGGTGACCTTCCCCTCCTAATTCCAGGGCTCTCATTTGAAAGAGTTGATGCTATTATCGGCTTCTAGAAAAATCTGTTAGGCAAGGTTACTTATCTCTGGAGCCATTTTGGGAGTCTATGTCATGACTTGGTTTTGGAGTCAGACTTATTAACTATGTGACTTGGAAAAGCTTCCTGACCCCTCTGAGATTCAGTTTCTCCATCCATGAAATGAGTATTACAATGTCAGCCTCATAGTGTTTTGTGTGAATATGATTAAAATTAAAAGAGATAATATATTTAGCAATAATCAGAGTAAGAGCGCAATAATGCACAATCTTGTTAATACGTTGCACTTTCTCTCTTTGACATAATAGTGTCTCACAGATAATTGGGGAAAACATACAAAAGTTAGATCTCTTTTCTAGACCCCCAAGCTGACACAAACCTATGAGCCAAGGGAGCCAGTATTTGGCCATCCGTCCATCCATCTGCATGTCCCAGGGGTGCACGAATAGGGAACAGTTCAGCTTCTCAGCTGCCTTCAAAGAAGGAATGAGTGAGAGGGTTATTTGGGTGAGCCAGCAGATACGGGTACTATTTTAGGGAAATTGCTTTTCCCTAGGTCTATATTGATCTGAATACACAAACCAAACTATTTCTGAAGTTGTTTTCTGATTTTTATAAAAGAGTCATTGATAAACTGTGCTCCTGCCTGGAAAATAAAAAGGACCCTTAGATTTAATGAGGGAGGGGGTGGTGAGTGGATTTACCATTGAGGTTGATGAATTTAATATATTGTTTGGCAAAACAAGTCACAGCAAACATCCATCATTCAGATGTTTTGGCTGAGAACAAAATGCTTAAGGATGATCTTGTACCTCAAATGCCAGGGAAATTTCCCCCGCTGGTTCCTCCTTGGTCTGCTCTTTTGGAAGGACTGCTCAGGTTCTATCTTTGGAGTTAGGATTGGAGTGTTTCCTCCTTCCCTCCACTTGGAAACTGAGGATTCAGAGAGTGAGGGAGTGATGGGCTGAGAGTCAGGGGTTCAGTACTAGGCAGGGGCAGGCTGGCCTGACCCAAGCCTCTGCTCTCTCAGAGCCTGACAGAGAGTGGGAATTTCTGGGGTCTGCAGGCTTTCACAAAGCCCCAGGAGCTCAGCTCCAGGAGCTCAGCCCCAGGAGTCCCTAAACAGCCTGGTGTGAATGAAATCACTTTAAAAAAGGAAGAGATCTCAATGCCTCCATCAGACATGTGCTGTTATGAAGGTCATGAGCAAACTTGTTCCAGGGTCTTCTGGGAAATGGAAATACCATCGGAATGAAATGACCTTTATTCAGCAAAATATTTCATTTTAAAAAGTCCCCTCACCAGGCATTGAGTATTAGTGCTTAGCAAGGTTCAAAACATATTTTTCTTAGCATTTCCAATATATTGGGGGCTGGAGTGACTCATCTGACCCTTACATATTAATATGTGAACTCACTAGTTTGATACAATGGGACTTCTGCACAGAAACATTTTTTAAAAATGAAGAAGCAATTCTGGGACAACATGGGATTCTGGATGTGGCAGGCAAAGGGTAGATTGAAGAAAGGCTTCTAATTCAACAGGTTCTGAGATAGAAACCTTTTGATATACACCTGATAATGGATGCAGGCTGGAAAGAGAATACCAGCTTCTTAGGTAGTGTGGGCTTGACAAAGACACATGCCCATGATATTTCAGTGGGACTTGACTCCTCATTAGTACAAAAGTTGATTCTGTGGCCTACGATGGTTCATTTCTATTTGATTCAATTTATTATAACAAATATTTTTGGTCACCTTTTGTATGTGAAGTATTGTAGAGAACACAAACAGAAGTCACTTATACTCTCAAAATTGTAACTCACGTTAACTGAGAACTTACCATGTGCCAAAGCTATCATGAGAATTTTACAATTATTAACTAGTTTTATTCTTTATAAAATGAGCACTCTTATTACTCCCATCTTACAGAGAACAGAGCTACAGCATCAGGGGCTAAGTAACTCTCTCAGGTCTGTGGGTGGTAGGTGATGGAGGCAGGTAGTCTGCCCCTACCATTCTGTCTGCCTCATATGCGTCACAAAGTCACGTTAGTGCCTTAAAATGGTGCTGAAGGTGTAATGATGGGTTCACTCACTAAGAAGGAAGGTCTAGGAACTAAGGTGGACAGGTAGATGCCCCAGAGCTCCAGGCTGACCTTGACATGACACAGCCAACTTGGCTCATGGAAACCCCTCTTATTTGTTTCAGCTCATGTTATGGATACAAGTTACAGAGTAGTGAGGCTGGCAAGACTTGCCAACCAAATAAACGTGCTGTCAACTCCAGGAGGTGGTAAGTCAGCTGGGCCAGGTGGCTCTCCTCAACCCCCTCAGGGACTGAAAGCCCCAAACAGCCTCGTTAGAATGATGGGTGGGCCAAGCTAGTCACACACATGAAAAGACTATACCCAGCAGGCTGCGGCTGCTTTCTGAGCCCAATTCCAGAGTAATAAAACGACTTGCAGCTGAAGGTTTGCTCACACTGTGCTGAAACAACTTGGATACACAGATAAATAAATCCTCTTTCAAAGCTCATTAAAGTTTCTAGAAAACAGCCGCTGCAGCCAGTAATCTTCAGGGAGCTCAATATTTAGAAGAGCATTAAAGCTTCCAGGTCACCAGGAGGCAATTTAACAGGCATCTCCTGACTGGTGGGCAGGGTCCATAAGTACAAAAAATGGGAATTTTCCCTCATGTAGTCAGAGCTCACCAGATGATAATAGAATAAATGATCAATGAGTGTAGTGCCTGGTGAGTGCACCAATACCTATTAATTCATTAGAAAATATTTTATATTTACAATGAAAATAATAGAAAACAATCCTATCCTAATTCTAGGAGGGAAGGAAACCATTCTGAAATGCAGCTGAATATAGAATCATGAATTTTGACTCCTGGTGTAAGGAAAGCAGGTTCAATTGCAGAAACAGGAGGCAGAGGAAGATTTTCAAAATATATGGCTTACAAAGGGTTTTACATGAGGAATGATTAAATAAATCAAAACATATGCATATATTGGAATATTATGCAGTTATTTAAAAATCATGCATTAAGAGACTTTTCATTTAGGGTGGAAATTCTCAATTAGGACATGAAGTCACGCATATAATAGAATATAGATATATGTAAAAACAAATGAAATACACTATAGCAGTAGTTACTTATCTTTGGGTGGTGGAATTATGGATTACACTGGACTATGGGATATGTTTTCCTTTTTACACGTTTCTTTATTTCCCCCAATTTCTTCAAAATTATGTTATATAATTTTGAAAAATAATGATTTTTCCCCCCAAAGCAAAAATAACTATTGTTTTGTATGTCATTAACACAATTCTTTGCACAGTGGCTGTGATAAGGATAACATTTTGGCTTCTGAATGAAAGGTTAAAAGGAGAGCATGGGTGACAGAAAGAAAAGAGATTTCACTCAGCTAACTCAGGGAGCATTTCCACTTGCCCCTCTCCCAATGGAATGCTCCTTATGGGAGCTCTTTCCATGTTTCCTCCTATGTCCTAGCATGTCAGCGGCATCTCTCACTCCCTCCCAGTGAAGTGGCGCATTTATCTTCTTCCCGCCAGCACCCGGCACAGTGCCCAGTCTCAGCACCCAGCTAGTGCCCAGCCCAGCACCCAGCCAGTGCCCAGAACAGCACCCAGCCAGTGCCCAGCCCAGCACCCAGCACGGTGCCCGGTGCCCGGTGCCGCCGCGCACTCACTGCGTAGACAGGGAAGAGTTCTTGTGCATTCAGGTCCCACGCGTTGACGTGGGAGCCGATCTGGACCCCCGGGAAGCCCAGTTCCTTCACACAGCGCTCCATCTCCTTGACGGCCAGCTCGGGGGCCTGCATGGGCAACGTCCCCAGGCCCACAAACCTCCTGGGGTGCTTTCCTACAGTGGCAGCTAAGTCGTTGTTTAAAAACTGGCACAGGTCTAACGTGTCTTGAGGTTTGGCCTGGTGGAGACAGATGAGGGAACACCACATCATTCAGAACCTTCTTCTTTAGTACTGTAGTCCGGACAATACCTCCCCAGGCCAAACCACCTGTCATTCTCAGTGGCTTTCCTCGTAGAAAGCTGAGGCACAGGCTGGGACAGGCCCTTGCTGCAGAAGACCCAGAAGCCAGGCATTGCAAATGCAAAGACAACTGCTCATGTTGCTGATTAGTTACAAATAGTGAGGCTGTAATCTGAAGGACAGACACAGTTACTGGGCCTGGCATTCCACCTCTGCAGAGAGCAGCCCGCAGGCTGCACCCCTAGGCGCCCCCTCTACCTCCACCCAGGAGGCTGGGCTGGGTGCCTGACGTCACCAGGGCCTCTCCTTGTCATGCCTCATTGTGTGACGTCAGGATGTTGTACACCTCTCCTGTCCCTGCTTCCCCCCTTCCTGTCTCTCCGTAGGCAGTGACATTCACAGTTACCTTAGCAAAATGCTGATGCAGATGAAGTTTGCTTTCTGTTCCCCTAACTCTTCCTTCTTCATTCTTTCCTTTCCTTTCTTTAATATATATATATATATATATATATATATATATATATATATATATATGTGTGTGTGTGTGTGTGTGTGTGTGTGTGTGTGTGTATTTTATATATTTTATTTTTTTAATTTTTTTAATTTTTTATTTTTTACAGAGAGGAAGGGAGAGGAATAGAGGGTCAAAAACATCGATGAAAGTGAAACATTGACCAGCTACCTCCTGCACACTCTCTACTGGGGATGTGTCCGCAACCAAGGTACATGCCCTTGACCGGAACCGAACCTGGGATCCTTGAGTCTGCAGGCCGACACTCTATCCACCAATCCAAACCAGCCAGGGCCTTTTCTTTCCTTTCAACCTCATCTCACCCCACTGCCAGGAATTTGGTGTTCTCCTGCAATCCCATGTTACTCAGTCTGATAAATTTAGACATATTGAAGTCATAAATTTAAACATATTTAAATCATTAATCTAATCACAGAAACAGATCAAGACTGAGTCACTAGCATGGGAATTATGAGTCCTGGTGGGGAAGTATTTTGAGCAGGTGGTATTTCCATTGCTCCGTAAACCACAACATGAGTGAATATTCGCACGTGTGCTCGGATTGCTGGTGCACCTCCAGCTGTGTACAAAGGTGTCCTCCCACGTGCTCACAAACGTGCCTGAAGCTTTAGCACTCGACACTTAATCCCTTGGGGAAAAGCGTCCAACTCTAGGAATCCCATTTTGAATTGTACATTTCCCTGGGAGAGGTAACACATTAGGCCATTATTATTGTTCCCACCTCAAAATCATGGTCACCTCAGAATACATTGGCTTGTTGCTTACTGAATAAGGCATTGTGGGGATGAGCCATCAGACAGGAAAGTTCTGATGGAAATTTAGGTTGAGTCTAGAACTGTGTGTCCAGTGAAAACACAATGCGAGTCACAGTGATGTGCTACTGTTGGCGACTATACTGGGCCATGTGGGTCTAGAGCAAGGACAGGACCAAGAATACAGGCCCCGAGGGCCCACGGCAGTGTGAGAAGCTGAGGGACCCCACCGATCTCTATAGGGGAGACACAGAGGGGAGGTGGCGCAATGTCAAGACTGAGTCATCTACCTACTTGCCAGACATACCCTCTGCCCACCAAGGAGATGGTTTGAAGTTCACACTCACCCAGTAGCTAAACATGACGGGAACCGTGGAAAGGGCTTGCACAGTCACTCCTAGACACAGACATGAAGAAAGGCAAAGCCGATGAGAATAGCCCAGATGCTGCTGTGTTTTCTATGCCCAAGTAGCTCAGCAATCCCCCTCCACCCCCCACCTCGTCCTCACTCTTCCTTCCCTGGCTGCTCCTCCCTGTCCTCCTTCTCTCAGGATCTCTGTCCCAGACCTCCCTCGTCCCTCAGTGTTGGGTTCTCAGAGGAGGGGTAAAAGCTGGACAAAAATAAAATCAATTAAGAACTAACTGGCACTCTTTATTTAGGTTATTTCTACCGTCCTTTTTGTGAAGGTCTATGTAAGCAAGAATTTCCCCAGCAATTTTTTTCAGGGCTTTTTATCTTAGCTCATGAATGACCGTGTATTTCCCAGCCACCTTCTCCCCCTCTTTAATTACTACTATGTTGTTCTGGGTCCTACTGTCTGGAATGCTCAGAATGGAACCCGGGATTTGGCTCCAGAATCCAGCCTCTAAGAGGCCTGAAATCTCTATCTTCAAGCTCTGGGAGCTTGGGTGTCAGGAGCGAGGCTGCCAAGTGGAGGGCGGCTCTCTTTTCCTCATGCTCACATCCAACCCACCAGCGAGACTTCTTTAGCTCTACTTCATTTCCTTTCATCCACCCAGGCATCCCCATCCCCTGCCTGCTAACCAGCATCTACCACATGTACCACGGCGAAAGCCTCCACCTTTGTCCCCTACCACCATTCTTGTCCTCCTATGGTTTGTTCTCCACTCAGAAATGAGAATAAAGTGCTAAAACTTAGATTAAGTCATTCCCTTGCTCAAAACTTTCCATCATACTAGGGTAAAATCCAGACTTGAGCATGGTCTGCAAGGCTCCGTACGGTCTCTCTTGGGGCTACATAATCTTCCTCGGTTTCTTGCCTGTTCTTTGTAACTGCTTTCTGCCTCAGGACCTTTGAATTGCTGTTCCTCCTACCTGAATGCTTTCCTTTTTTTCCTTAAAAATTTTTTTTTAAATTGATTTTTTACAGAGAGGAAGGAAGAGGGATAGAGAGCTAGAAACATCGATGAGAGAGAAACATTGATTAGCTGCCTCTTGCACACCTCCCACTGGGGATGTGCCCACAACCAAGGTACATGCCCTTAACTGGAATCGAACTAGTTCACAGGTTGACGCTCTATCCACTGAGCCAAACTGGTTTCGGCTGAACACTTTTCTTTTGGCTCATTAAAAAAGATAGGCTTTTTTTCTTTCTTTTTTTTTCTTTTTTACCCGAAGGTCTCAGTTCACATGTCACTTCTTCAGAGTGGTCTCCCTGCTACTCCAGCCATGATCTATCCCATTGTCTCATTCCTTTCCTTTTCTAATACTTATTACACTCTGTCATTTCTATATTTATGTATTTACTAGAGGCCTGATGCATTAAATTTGTGCAAGGGACTTGGCCCCTGTTCCTGTAGCAGCTGTGGGCCTCTGCCTAGGCCCCTGTCTGCCACAGTTGCCACCCTATGCCTCTCCTGACCCGCTGTGGCTTTGCCCAGAAGGAAGGACATCTGGTCTAATTAATATATTACTCTTTTATTATTATAGATTCTGTGCTTTCCCCTATTTGAATACAAACACCACTTGAGTCTGTCTCCATGCCATAGCATTAACATCCCGAGTGGAGCCTGAACATACCCAATAAACGAAAGACTGCAGGTTTGATAAGAGAGTATTATTAACCATTGTCATAAGATATTTACATTCATTGATTAGTATCAAACAAATGAGTACCTTTCAATTGTAAAATCTTTTACATTTTACACAAATACTTTCACTACATTACTTGATTTCATTCCTCTATTTTATAGATTAGATCTAAGGTCACATGTTTTGAAAGTGGTGCCATGAGGCTCCTGTCTAGCCTTTCTCCTTCCCTATTTCCCAGTGACCATTACTTGTCACAATATTTCATATTAATGTAGTAATTGTATCATTTGTGTATTGGTTGATTTTGATACATATTCTTTGGCCTCTCAGAACTAAGAGGGAAAACAAGTCTAATACAGTTAGAATTTATATATATATATATATATAAATTGGTGATCCCTCACCAATTCTGACCTCCTAGGTCTGTTCCAGAACCAGCTTCAATAGGAACATGACCTATGCTTCTATGTGCATCATCTCATTGTTATTATTTTGGCCTTTGTTCTGTGTTGGATCTTGTGATGAAGTGACCTAGGGGTTGCCAGTTACATTTCACAAAGTATCCTGGAGCAAATTCTAACATTCCATAGAGCACCTCCTCATTTGGGGCTGACAGGTTAACTCGTTTTGTGTAGACTTTGGAATAAAATGTCTCCTGCCATCTCTGTGTATATATATATATTTTAAAGGAGAGGGTTGGCAGTATGACATAGCACAACCTTTATACAACTTACTTGTTGATTGCATTTGGGGTCGAGGAAGAATATTTTAAAAACAAATTCCTAGGCCCATTTGTTTTAAAATTCTGATTTAGTGGATGGGGCCTGAAAAAAATATTTTAACTAGCACCCCCGGAGATCCTTACCCTGAGGGAGATTTGGGAAAATATTTTTGTGGTGGAATGAAAAGACAGCCCTACGCACAATCTTGGCTCTGCTTGTTACCAGCTGTGTGATTTTGAGCAAATCCATTAACTTACTTGCCCCCTTAGGTAACAACAGATAAAACAATGACTGCCACTTAGAAGCATTGAGCTTCCACCCAGCCTTCACCAGGCCTGGATCCCTCACCAATTCTGACTTCCTAGGTCTGTTCCAGAACCAGCTTCAATAGGAACATGACCTATGCTTCTATGTGCATCATCTCATTGTTATTATTTTGGCCTTTGTTCTGTGTTGGATCTTGTGATGAAGTGACCTAGGGGTTGCCAGTTACATTTCACTCCCTGTGAAGATGGCATAGATTGCTGGAATATTCTGTGTTGGGCCTTTGTCATTTATTTTCTTATCTCCACAGAGGTGGTAGGATGTAGTTGCTAAGCACTTGGGGGCAGACTGCTCAGGGTTCAAATCCTTTTTCTGACTCCTACAAACTGTGTGATCTTGGGCAAGTTGTTTAACCTCTGTCCGTTAGTTTCTTCATCTGTAAAATGGGCATCATAATAAATGATACCCCCTAGGGTTGTTATAGGGATGAAATGAGTTGATACCTGTTAGGTGCTGAGAAAAGTGCCTGGTACAAAGTAAATGCTCAGCAAGGAATAGTCATGACTGTGCTCTCAAAGACAGCCAATGGATGAAACACACAGCAAAACCGGAAGGGGACACCCTTTATCTAAGCCAACACCAGCCATCCGAGTCTCATTTCCTCTAGTTTTCTCCTGGAAGGGGTGAGGAAGCCTTGCTCTTTGCTGTAGATCTGAGCAGCACACTCTTTCTCTAGCTCCCCTCCCACCACATACTTCTAGACCAGGGGCATGTACGCTGTGTTCTGTGGAATGGTCTGCAGTGGTTTTCAGGCTTTCTGCAAAGTTCAAGTTGAATGCCATTTTAATATACTTTAATTATTTATAAAAACTATAAAGCAATTCCTGACCCAAAGTATCCTGGAGCAAATTCTAACATTCCATAGAGCACCTCCTCATTTGGGGCTGACAGGTTAACTCGTTTTGTGTAGACTTTGGAATAAAATGTCTCCTGCCATCTCTGTGTGTATATTTTAACTTCTTTTCGTTTATCTTTGATTAAGAAGGTGGTAGTTCTGAGCTGCTCTTTCATTTGTGGGTACGAATTGTCTGTTGTCTGGTTTACATCTAGACCACCAATGTCGAAGCTCAGGCCTGGCAGTGTTGTAGGGCAGTTCCCTCTGGCATGGTCCACACGTGCCCATAGGCTCAGACCATCTTCTGGAGCATGTGTACTTGGGTGGCACAGTAATAAGTGAAAGCACAGTGGCCATCATACCATATTTTAAATGGTCTTTTAAATTGTGGGACTTGTATATAAATATACTAGAGGCCCGTTGCACAATATTCTTGCAAGAATAGGCCTTCCTTCCCCTGGCTTTGCTCCCGGCCACCCAGGAGCCTGCAAGTCCTTGGTCCCGGTGGACCACCACTCCTATAGCTCCCTCTGCAGCTCCCCCACCTCCTCGTAGCGGGTGTCCTGCCCCTCCTGGCAGCTCCATGCCTGCATATGCAAATTAACTCACCATCTTTGTCAGGTTAATTTGAATACTCACTCCTGATTGATTGTGGGCATAGTGGAGGTATAGTCAATTTACATGTTTGTCTATTATTAGTCAAGAAGATAAGTAATACAAAGCAGTTCTCAGAAGTTGTTAGTGATTTAGCTTTGAAACAAGAATGTCCCAATTCTCCTCTTTCAAGTTTCAGAATTAACTTCATTATAGACAATTCTGAGATTACACTACTAACTTCCTTTCTAACTGCTCTCATTTCCACCCATTATGTGTCACTGGGGATTTTCTGTGTCCTGTGTACCAAGACAAAGTGCGGGAAGAAATTGGGTCCTGAATCTGACTAAGCAGGAAACTGGCATCCTTACTCTGCGAATTCTAATTTCTATTCTTTTAATCAACTCTAATAATAAGTACATACTATACATTTGAACTCAAAAAGCTTTAAAATAGTAAAATGCCACATATATGTTTTTTTTAATGATATAGCATTCTACTTTAAACAGATATACTTAATTAAAAATTAATTTTAATCCACACTAAAACAATTATAGTAGAAGGCCCACCCCTTCCCCATCGGGCCCTATGGAGAAAAGGCGTTGGAAGTTACCATCATATAAATCCTATAAAGTGGTCAACAGACTTCAGGGAGAGACGTGGCTTTTCTATCAGATGTGATTGATCACGGTAACATTTCTCAGAGTAAGTACCTGTTTGGTCCATTTCTCTAATGCGGACGTCTGGATCCCAGCAGTTCTCTTGGACCACCCTGAACACCTTCCCGTCCTTCAGCATCTTCGCCTCTCCCTGGGGCAGAAGAGGCACATCAGTAACTTCACCTATGTTTAATTAGATGAAGCCTTCCTTCTATGCTTTGGAACACAGTTCTCTCCTAATAATAGAAATCTGTTCATTCAGCAGAACTCAGCTTTTCACTCTCCTGTCTTCATATTGGCTGGCAGTTAAAGGTGTGTGCTCGTAGGCAGTTGAGCACAGAGAGAAACAAGGCCATGGTCATTGCCTTTTGGGGCTTCATGACTAAGGATGGCTGGTAACCTTGTCTACCTGAACTTCTGGCTACAAGTCCCGAGAGGAAGGCTCAGTGTCTGGAAAACTCCAGAAAAAACACAACATTTTAGAATTGAAAAGGACCTTGGAGATAGACTGTGTAGTCCAGCCTTCTGAAAGGTCTTATAGAGAAGCCACAGATGGATAGTCAGAAGAAGTGATTTGTCCGGCGGAGCAGGGCCCACTGATGTCAACACCTGCAGGAGGAGGTGGGTGATGAAGTGAATCGGTCTCGCAGCATGCGAGACCTTGGGGCCGAGCTGCTGACCGCCACCAGGCATTTGCCACCTGTGTACACTGTCTCTTATTCCTCAGGGCCGGGGCCAAGGTAAAGGGCTGTACAGAAGCACGGCAGTGGGTTCTAAATTCAACCTCCAGCTTGTGATCTCTAAAGGAAAGGGAAAAGTTCTGACCCAGGTCCCTGAACTCAGACTGCTCAGGTTCAAATCCCAATTTTACTACGTACTGTGTGGTCTTGAGCAAATTAAAACAACACCTCTTAGCTTCAGTTTGTTCATCTTTAAGGTAGGGATAAAAAATAATATAACTTACCTTAAAGAGATCTGTGAGCATAAAATGGGAGAATCCATATAAAGCACATGAGTATCTGACGCATGTTAAGTGTTGGCTATTCTAAGTATTAGTTATTAATGACATGTGGCTAACGAGGGACTAGGCTGTCTCCTACTGTCCCTCTGCTGTGAGGGCACATCACCTCTGGCAGTGCTTTAGGCCTCAACATTGCCCTTGGGCCCTGCGTGATGACCGAGGGGGCATGCGGTGATCAATGGCCTTGAGCTCTGCTTGATGGAGTCCCTGCCCTCCCGCTCTCCCCCTTGTTTTGATTGCGAGTTGCACACAGGTCTTGCCATAGCTTCTTTCTTGATCCGTCTATCCTATGGACAAAACCTTTTCCGACTTTTGCTTGGAGAAAGCCAACCACTTTTCCCTGCAGGTGTGGCAGCCCCTTCAAATGTGGCTGGCATGAGGAAGCCCTAAGATCCATGTTTTCATTTCTCATGGACTGGAGGGAAGAAGTCAGTGAGCAGGTGGCTTGTGTAACCACGACAGGTGTCTGTGTCCAGGCAGAACCCAGTCTCTTACATCAGGGTTGACTTGCTTCAGTCCTCTTCTTTTGCCGACCCTGCCAGCATCTGAACACCTTTCCTGGGTTGGGGAATCTCCTAGAAGAGTCTTAGTGGAGGCAGAGCCCAGCCTTCCTCTAGTAAAGTTCAAAAGCCCAAATGCTTGTTCTCCTTGCCCTGAGGTTGGCCAATCAATGCTTGGTTTTTAATCAAGAGCAAGTGATGCAAAAAGGCAGAACAGTGAACTATGCTGCCAATGACTCTGACAATGGCCACATGCTGTGTCTGTTGACAGGGGTACTAAAGGCGGAGAATTTATTGAAATGATACTTTACGTAATGAAAAGTTAACATTCAAAATAACGGAAATGACACCACTGGACTAGAATAATGCCTTTCAGTCCATTTTGGCTGTGACCTCACATGTAGAAATATTTTTTTCCATTGTGACCCAGTAGACCCATATAAATCTATTTAAACAGATAAAAACTGGGACAAAAGTTCCATGAAACAATGTTTGCTCTTACTATGAACAGTACATCTTGCTGTTTCCTTTTGTAATCTATTTCATTTTTAAAGTTGTCCTACCTAACCCCGTGACTTGTTATTATGATTCACTATTAGGTTGCAACCCTTATTTTCAAACTCTGGAGTCGATGATCACTGGTCTATGATTCTTTATCTTTAAGGAGACTGCCTTTGCTGTGGGCTTTCTACTTTTCCTGACTCCCTTGCTATTTATTGTCTCTTTTGTTCAGTTAGCTCAATATTATTGCCATTGAATAAATAACTTTATCCATTCGGGTTTCTTCTTGGCTTCCTAGTGAGGGGAAAATCATTTTTCAGATCAGGAGCCCAGTGATCAGAATTACACAGAATAGTGTGTGTTTATTGCTTGGTGGTTTGGAAATGGTGTGTGTGTGTGTGTGTAGGCTCAAGGGCCTGGAAAACACTCCGTGGGGATCTGTGGATGCTGCTGACCCATGGTTTGAAAGAGGCCCTATGTCCACCCTTTGAAATGCTCCCAGGTTTTTTTTGCCGCCAGGACTCAGTTCTATCCTCACCCCGTGCAGCCCCTGAGAGGAGGCTACCCAGACTGTCTTGTTCCCTTCACTTTCCTACATATTCAGCCAAAACACAGGTGGTATTTTTTCAATTCTGAACGAGGCTTTACCATGGCACACAAGCACCCCACCATTCATTCCAAAAGCATTGAAATTCATTAAGAAAAGAAACTAGATTTTCTCATGGCTGTTAGTCTAATTTGAATATTTATATACATTCACATGTTGTTTTCCAGTGACTGTAATCCCTGACCACTGTGATTATAAAAAATACAGATTTAGTTTTGTTTTGTTTTGAGGGAGAAGGAAGGAGAGAGTCACTGTTTTGTTCTATTATACTTCCATTGTATCCAAGTTTGCTGGAAATATGTAGGACTGGATATATTTTCCTTCTTGGTTTTTTTTTTAAATTTATTATTATTATTATTTTTAGATCTGCTGTTAAGTTTATGCAATCTCTTGACATGAAAACAAAGTGAAACGAAGTCCATTCAAATCCATTATCAAGGTTACAGACTGCAGCCTGGGATATGGAGTAAATAAAAATCACAGCAGCCTTTCTCTGCGTTGGGGCTTCCTCGCAGCCTTGTAATCAGCTCTGCTCAGCTTGTTTTCCTCCTGGGGAGACCCAAGGACAGTTTAGCTTAGATCACTGCTCAGTACAGAAGTGCGGCTCAGTGCCTAAATCAGCACTTAGTGGATGCCCCACCGATTCTGGTGCTGAACACTCTGTAATGGTTCCCCACTGCCTTCAGGATCAAGTTCAAAGGCCTAAACCCATTCTCCAAGGCTCCATCTGATGAGGCTCTGCCTACCTCTTCGGCTTCTTTCTACCACTTTGCTCCTAAAACCCTTGCTTGCCTCAATCCATTCTCTGACACTGACATGGCCTTTTTAAGCCATTAACACCCTCCAAAGACTTTGCACTGTGTTGAAAATAAAAATCCAGACTCCTTAGCATGTGCCACATGCCCCTCTATGATCTGGCCCCTGCCTGCCTCAATAGCCTCATTTCCTACCGCCTCCCCGTTTCATCACATCTCAGCCACATGCCCTCTTTCTTTGTTTCTTGAGCACAGCTCTTCCTCATGCGATAGCCTTTGTAACCGCTGTTCCCTGAGGGATGCTATTCCACCGTTTCCTTCCTTTCCTCCAAGTCTTCACTAGCTGCCCGTGCAGCCCGCCCTAAGTAACCTCCCTATTATAGCAGCGTTTGTCAGTCCATTCTCCAAAGTGATCAGGTTTGCCTCCCCCCTAGAGGCTTATCACCACGAGGGCAGGGAACAGGCCTGTCTTGTTCACCAGTATATCTCCCAGGCCTAGCTGGTGATGCTAATAAAAACCAGTGAGTGAATGAACATGGGCAGTGGTTTTCAAACTTGAGTAAGCGTCCGAATCACTTGGAGGCTTGTCAAAACACAAACTGCTGGCTGGTTCCTCAGAGTTCCTGTTCTGGTAGGTCTGAGTTGAGGCTCATGAATTTGAATCTCTTGCATCTTCTCAAATGAAGCTGCCCTTGCTGGTCTGGGGATCACATTTGGAGAAATGCTGGTCCCAGCCATAGCAAGTGCTTGAGTGGTGGGCTTAGATAAGTTTATTATTTCCATGCAGGTGTTCCCTGTCTTCTCTTCCTGGAAATCTGTTTCCTTTATTCCTGCTTCAAGCCTCAGGCTGGGCATCACTCCCTCCAGGAAGTCTTCTCCAGGATTAATGTCCAAATCTATGTCCTCCAGCACTTGGTGAAAAGCAGTCCGCCCAACCTTATCACACTGCATGTGTTTCTCCCAGGTCTGCTTTAGGCACACGTATGTTCCAGCTGGACACTCAGACATGTTCCCTCCCAGCTCCATGCAGGCACGTGCTGCCTCTGAAAATGAAGTCAGGGTTGACCTCTCTGAAGCCCTAGACTCTGAGCTCCTTCTCAGTCCTCTTTGCACCTTTCCCTCTTTCCTAACAGTGGCTTCTCCCGGGTCTCCAATGTTTAACTTCTCTATCTTGTGCTCAAACCTAAACTGATCCATTTATTTGGTTGGCCTTAATCTACTATAATGGCCTGGGGAGGAGGCCAGGTTAGTGCTCAATTCTATGTCCTCCAGCATCTATTCCTTAAGGCAGAGCAAAGATGCTAAAATTGGTTTGAGGGCAAAAAAAAAAAAAAAAAGTTTCTTAGTGGCTTCTCAAATTCCAATTTACCTTCTTGAATGCTGCTCTTTGCAGTGACCCACATTTTTCTAATAATTTAGAGAAACCTCAGTGCTGCTCCCTTGCCTATTGCAAAGTCCACAGAAGGACAGAAGGGTGGAGAGCGCCCGGAGGTCTCAGGCTCACTTTGGGAGAAACTCACCTTGCAGTGGTGTTGGAGCTGCACCCAGCCTCCATAGCCGAATCTCTGCAGGGGGAGAGGCACAGTTAGACCGAAAGAGCAAAGCGGACAGGACTGCAATAAAGGGCATTTCTGTGGCAAAGAATCCTGAGCTCCAGCCTTTCAAGTAGCACCTTTCCATCTTCTCCTCATATCCATGCACCACTTATTCAATATTTATATTAAAATCAATTTACTTTCTTCCCTTAAATGCATTTATTCAGGAATAAAATTCTATACCATAGAAGTGCTAGTTTTACCTTTTATCCTAATGCAGGTTGTAATTTTAAAGTGAGATTTATGTTAAAAAACATTTGTTTCTGTATCAACTAAACTATTTCATCAGGAGAACATGGACAGTAAGAACCACTCTTTAGGAAATGCCATATTGGAACACTGCTCTTTAAACTGTGTGTTGTGATCCATGAAATCAATTTAGTGAACAGTGAATGACCCAGATGTTCTAAAAATACCAAGCAGTATATGGAGCAGATGGTGTTGGTGTTTCACCCATATTCCCCCCCTTAACACTTCTGTTCACACCAGCCCTTTTGCCACAGAAGCCAACCTTCTAGTACTAGTAAACTAGTGTCCACCTCCCCTCAGCAGTCCTCAACCAATGACTGAGGGTGCTTGTCTGTGAATACACTGAATCCATTGGATCACAGGTCTGGCTGGGGTGAGGTATAGATTCTACACTTTTTTTTTGATGCCTTGCTTTCCCTGTCTTACTTCCTCACTCTACTGGTATTTTCTAAGGTCACCTCCAAAGTAAACTTGCATTTGAATTTTTATCTCAGGGTCTGGTTTTTGAAAAACCCAAGCTTAGATAGTAGAGGAATGGAGTAGAATGGAGGGGAGAGGAGGAGAATGGAGTGGAGTGGAAAGGAGTGGAGTGAAGTGTAATGGAATGGAATGAAGTGTAATAGAGTGGAGTGGAGTGGAGTGAAATGGAGTGTAGTGTAATGGAATGGAGTGTAGTGGAATGGAATGGAGTGGAGTGGAGTGGGGAGGAGTGGAGTGAAGTGGAATGGAGTGGAGTGGAGTGAAATGGAATGAAGTGGAGTGGAATGGAGTGGAGTGGAATGGAGTGGAGTGAAGTGGAGTGAAATGGAGTGAAGTGGAGTGAAATAGAGTGGAGTGGGGAGGAATGGAGTGAAGTGGAGTGGAATGGAGTGGGGAGGAGTGGAGTGAAGTGGAATGGAGTGGAGTGGGGAGGAGTGGAGTGAAGTGGAATGGAGTGGAGTGGAGTGAAATGGAATGAAGTGGAGTGAAATAGAGTGGAGTGGGGAGGAATGGAGTGAAGTGGAGTGAAGTGGAATGGAGTGGAGTGGAGTGAAATGGAATGAAGTGGAGTGGAATGGAGTGGAGTGGAATAGAGTAGAGAGGAGGGGAATGGAGTGGAGTGGAATAGAGTGGAGTGAAGTGGAGTGGAATGGAGTAGAATGGGGAGGAGTGGAGTGAAGTGGAATAGAGTGGAGTGGGGAGAAGTGGAGTGGAGTGGAGTGAAATGGAGTGAAGAGTGGAATGGAGTGGAGTGGAGTGGGGAGGAGTGGAGTGGAGTGGAATGGAGTGAAGTGGAGAGGAGTGGTATAGAGAGGAGTGGAATGGAATAGAATGGAATGGAGTGGGGTGAAGTGGGGTGGAGTGGGGTGGAGTTGAGTGGAGTGGAATGGATTGATCAGAATGCCTCCTATGTGTAATTTTTCATTTCATGAAACTCTTGTTTCCATTATATGTGGATGTTTGTGCTGAGTCACAATATAAAATATATTTCTTCTTGACAGTTATGACTAAAAAATTCTGTAAGCCTCTGCCTAAGAACATATCGTATTTCCCCAAAAATAAGACATCCTCCGAAAATAAGACTTAGTGCATGGAAAGATAAGACATCCCCTGAAAATAAGACCTAGCGCAACTTTGGGAGAAAAAAATTAATATAAGACACTATCTTATTTTCGGGGAAACAGGGTAGCTATATGTGACTTGTGTAACTATAGATTTTTAAATCTCATTTGTTCATTCACTCATTCACTCTTCATTCATTCATTTCACAAACCCTCATGGACTCCCTCCATGACTGGCCTTCCTAGGCAGAGAAAATAAAAAGTGAAGAACAGTTCCAGCCAGTGTGGAGCACGGTCTTGAGAGGGTGGGCTGGGTTGGGCAAATACTTCCATAATCACACGTGAGATGTGCTGTGATTGAGTGATGCACAATTCCTCTGGGAGCCTGGAGGAGGGTTCTGACCCACAACTTGGGTCAGGTGATACCAGGGAATGGAGATTGAAAGGGCTTTTGGGGTCAGATTGGAGAGGAACTTCCAGTGGTCAACATTTTCATGCTCCAAAGCAATGGCTCTCAAACTGTGGTGTAAGAGGGGAGAGTATGGCAGCCAGAGACAGTGATGTGAAGAGCTCCTCAACAGCTCCAGGCATCACTGATGGATAGATGAGTTAAGGAATCTGAAGGTCAGTACAACTTCTCCCGTGTTTTAGTTGGATGAGACCAGCTAGCAGTGGTTGGTTCTTATGTCATGACAGTGAGTTTGTCTTGAGGAAGTCAGGTCTTGGCAGATCCCTCGTCCTAGTTCTGCTCTCCCCTCCAGACTGAGAAGGGAGGTCTGGGCCTGTAGCATAGGAGTGTTTATGTGACTGTGTGTCTGTGATTTCAGTTGGCTCCAAAAGACTTAAGATTTTGGTCAATTTTATACCACCTGTATTCTATCTGTGCATAAATTTTGTTCTTGAGTTACAGCTCAAAGTAATCATCTTAGTCCCAGCTGGCATTGCTTAGTTGTTAGTGCATCATCCTGTGGACTGAAGGGTTTCAGGTTCAATTCCCAGTCAAGGGCATGTACCTGGTTTGCAGGTTCAATCCCTGGCCCTGGTGGTGGTGCATGCTCAAGGCAACCAATTGAGGAATTTCCAGTAGTCAACATTTGATGTGTCTTTCTCACATCACTGTTTCTCTCTCTCCCATTTTCCCTCTCTTCCTCCCTCCTTAAACACACACACACACACACACACACACACACACACACCCCCAACAACAACAACAAGACAACAACAGCAAAAAAAGTGTAATTAAGTTATTGCTAATGAAAGAAAATATATATATTATTTAAAAAATAATTTTTTTTAAATAAAGGCCAGAATTTTTCAACACTATTTCAAATTAGAAAAATCTTTGCAAGCCCTACTATTGGACACATTATTGGTGGTCAGTAGAGTTTTGCTGAAGGAAAAAGCCAAAAGCTTATTATCATCATTGTCTTGAGGCATAATCTCATGTGAATAACCTGAAACCACTTCCACCATGGTTTCTTAGCCTATTTGTGACAGAGTGTAGGTGCTGATTCATTAGAAACAATTTAATTAAGTGCTCTCTGATTCTGTTATCTTTGTGCCTCACAGATCTTAATTGTAACTCTGATTTATTATAAAGTGAAAATGAATAGCTTTCTCAAATCCTAGTCTTTTGTAATGATTAGTTAATCATCAAGCCAGCATGTTGATTCTGCTTTTCTGTTTCTTTGTTGCATAAGGAGAGCAAGGTTTTGGAGGTGTGTCTATTAATATTTAATTTTTTAAAAGGTCAGGTTTGAAAAGAGATGTTAGTTATTCCAAACAGGCTTCATCTTCTAATATAAAACTAGTACTGGTTTATCTTTTTCATTCTTTGATTGGAAAGTTTGAAAAAATGGTGAAAAAAGATCAGAGATTGATGCTTTGAAATATTTTACCCTCAAAGAAACAATTGGAAGGCAAAGGAAAATGTGCTGGAACTATTGAACTATGTGAACACCAAAGAAGATCTGCTCTTAACTACTGTTACTTCAATACTCACTCTGACCACATAGACTGAAAATGCAGAGGGAGGGAGATGGATCCCAGCACCACTTCATGTATTTTTACTTATCTCACTCCTCCCAATTTGAAAACACAGAACTGTTTTCTGCTATTTGGTTTTTCACAGGCTTGCCTGAACTTAAATACAAAATTATACCATATACCAGATCTGATTGCTTGACCTGCAGATTGGAAGCCAGATTCCAATACCCCATGATGAACCCTAAGTGGGTTTGGCATGTGTTTGGGATCGGGCTGGTGTTGAAGGAGGCACTTGGGGTTGGGGTGGCAAAAGGAAACAGGGACGTCCCCTATAGCAGTGCCATTCTCCTTGGGCCAGCTCTCTCAGCTGGGTGTCGTTGTAGTGCTGGGAAGGGGCCGCGTGATCCCACATAGCTTTGTGTTTCTAAGCTTATTTCTGAGTCTCCAGGACTTTATTAATCCAGCAGGGTTAATAATATAAATCCTATAAATTTTGCAGTTAGCAAGGTTTTATGTGGATCAAATTACATATTGCTCCCTGGAAGTATAAGAGTATTATGATTATTACTAGAGGCATAGTGCACAAAATTTGTATGTGGGGTGTGTGTCCCTCAGCCCAGCCTGCACCCTCTTGAATTTGGGACCCTAGAGGGATGTCTGACTGCCCTTTTAGACCCAATTCTACCTGGATTGGGCCTAAACATGCAGTTGGACATCCCTCTCACAATCCAGGACTGCTGGCTCCCAACCTCACCTGCCTGCCTGCCTGATTGCTCCTAACCACTTCTGCCTGCCAGCCTGATTACCCCCTAACCACTCTCCTGCCAGCTTGATTGATGCCTAACTGCTCCTCTGACAGCCTGATTGCCCCTAACTGTCCTCCCCAGCAGGCCTGGTAACCCCTAATTGCCCTTCCCTGCAGGCCTGGTCACCCTCAACTTCCCTCCTCTGCCTGCCTGGTCCTTCCCAACTGCCCACCCCTGCTGGCCTGATCACCCATAACTGCCCTCCTTTGCAGGCCTGGTCCTTCTCAACTGCCCTCCCCTACTGGCCATCTTGAGGTGGCCATCTTGTGTCCACATGGGGGCAGCCATCTTCGACCACATAAGAACAGCCATCTTGAGTGTTGGAGTGGTGGTCAATTTGCATATTACTCTTTTATTAGATAGGATTACTACTATCATCATCATCATGTGTATTTTGTTATCTGCTTGCAGCTTGTGAGACTGCTAGATGGAAGCCTGGTTTATCAGAAGAAAATGTACCTTCCTCTTTGAGGCAATAGCTGGAATATAGGAACAGGAGGTGGGCTAAAGAGTCAGCAGAATAGGTGTTTGTCGAGTTTCCAGGCACCCATTTATGGCTATTGCCTCCCCATGCTCTCTGCATCCCTCAGCTTTCTAAGCAGTTTTCACAGTACCTTTAGGGCCCTGCACAGCTCTTGGTGACCAGTTCTCTGCTCACACTAGAGTAGGGGTGTCGAACTCAATCAGAGAAGGGGCCAAAATCTAAAATCCAGCCTAAATCGAGGGCCGAATGGTTTACTGAACAGTCATAAACTGTCATTGTGATGGAAACGCAGCGGAGTGCAGTGATGACAGCGCGGTGCGGGCCACATTGCAAGGCCTGGCGGGACGGATTTGGCCCGCAGGCCTTGTGTTTGACACATGTGCACTAGAGGCAGGCTTCTGGGTGGGAGACAAGTCCTGGGAGGAGGTGGCTTGTGGTATAGGATACAGATCTCCCCCTTTTCGCCCCCCCCCCCCAGCAGAGGAGGAACCATTTTAGGCTGCGCTGGGTCATCATCATAAACATTGTGAAGCTGTGTTTACGCTTTAATAGAATATGGCGAGGAGAACAGCCCAGCAAGTTCCCATGTAGACACTCAGACTTCTTTTGAGGGGCGAGTTTGATGGGGTAAGCTTTTAGCATTGGCTGTAACAGGACAGCCTTTCAAAGATGATTTAGCCTAATTGGTATTTTTCAATCCACAATGTCTACCACCCATCTTACCTAAAATACCAATGAACAAAGAAACACTTAAGGTTAACATCCTTCTAGGAGACAACTATGAGAAGAAAATTGTCTCCACTACTTGCACAATGCATCACTATTTAATCAGAGTTTAGGTTAATCCATTTTTCCTCACTTGGGATAAAAAGGTGAAACATTATCAATGGTGTGAAAGTTCTAGAGAAGGCTTATGATTGGGTAAAACCTGATAATTCGCCTGAACAAAACTCAAGCCAATTTTAGATATCTTTTATGTCTCCCACCTTCCTAGTCGTTTTATTCAGTTACAGTTATTCATTCAAAAGTTCTTAATGACAGGAGGAAATATCCATCTTTGGAGAAGCACAGAGCAGTCTTTGGAAACATTCATTGTGCGAAAGCCTCATGTCATTTCCTCTAGGGTTTTTGATGTTCCTTCTCTCTTGTTCATAACAAGGATTTACAGCTTAAAGAACATCAAAAAGGAAAGGTTTCAGGCAGTACCCTAAAATAGACTACAAAAAAAAAAAATCAGTAAGTTATCTCTTGGCACTTCTAAACCTTATTTTAAACATTTTGGAAAGAAGATATGTTGTAGAAATCCCGGAAGCCTGTCACATTCCATTTCTTAATAGTCTCTTACTTGAAACTGTAACTTTCAATTCTGCAGTTGGCATGTATCTTCCCTTCCCAGCAGATGAATATATTATTCAAATGGAAGTGAAACTGACTGGCTTAAATTGTTCAGAAATTTTAAAGAATGCTTCATTTAAGGGGAGAAAGGAATTTTGAGAAATACATCTTGATCAATGTTCTTTCAAAATCAATATAAAAGTAATTTTTTTAAACTAAGAAATCAGAGCAACCAAATAATTTTAAAGCATTCGTAAAGCAGAGAAACTTAACATCTAATTTCTCAAAGAAAAGCTAGGTTTGTAATAGAGGCATTGAAAAACCCTGGAGAAGTTCCAAAAATAATTCAGCAAATTAATCACCATTACCTTTTTTAGATCTGGCCATTCTTTTGGTAGAATATGATTATGGATGTCAATTTTCATCTCCACAGGATCAGAGGAGAAGCGTATAAAGAAAGAAGTTTTGATATCAAGAGATGAACACCATGGAGTTTATTGATTTACTTTGCCCCTTCACAGCTATCTTTAGGCACTGGCCAGCAGGCCTGCTCAGCCAACTTTGAGTTCATTGGAGCTTATTCAAGTTCAAAGTTTTGTTTGTCAACTTAGCTGTTTGTCAGTAATTCTTTGTTAAAAGGCTGGGTAGCACAAAATTATTTTTAAAAAAGACTGTACTACACCTATGAATACAGCAGGTCCAAAAATGGACTAATCTTTGTTTTTAAATATTTCAATTTTATCAACATATATACATTTAAAAAATCAAGTAGTACCTGGTTAAAAGAAAAGAAGAAATAGTTTTCTTTGGGAATTCCTTTGAGAAGTACTGGTCAAAGACCTACTGAAATTTTTAGTTAAGGTACCAGATTGGTAATGCTCAAGCACTCCCTCCCCATCAATACACAGAAAAATAAAATGCAAATACTTTCTGGAGAAAATAATTCCAACTGATTCCCTCAGTATGCCACAGATTTAAAAAAAAAAAATACATTTTGTTGATTTTTTACAGAGAGAAAGAGAGAGGGATAGAGAGTTAGAAACATTGATGAGAGAGAATCATTGATCAGCTGCCTCTTGCACACCTCCTACTGGGGATGCGCCCACAACCAAGGTACATGCCCTTGACCAGATCGAGCCAACGCTCTACCCACTGAGCCAAACCTGGTTTCGGCAATATGCCACAGATTAACGTCAACAAAATATTGACTCATAATAAAAATTCTACACATATGAGGAAAAAAGCCATCATGAGTGAGTGTCCACAGAAATAATAATATATTTAAACCTCTAAGGACAAATATATTGGAGATATTGTTGTCAGTATTGCAGATGTCTCCCTTTCCCCCCCCCCCCCCCCATATTATTATTTCTTTGTAGAAAAAGGCAAGTTATCCTTAGATTATTAGTAGTTGGATTGTATAAGAATAAAAAAAATGGGTTCAATTAAGTCTGAGTGGCTTCTTCCTCCTGGCCCTGATCTGATGGTTATAAGTTAACTCAAATACCAGGGTTAAAGCCTGTATCTACTGCTTATTAGCTGATGGCCTTTGGAAAGTTCCATGGTCTCTCTGTAAAATAGGGACAACAGTGGAACTGATCTCATATAGTTATTGAAGTATTAACTTGAATAATATAATTGACAGCTATGAATTATACCATGACACATAATCTAATTATTTCTTAGTCTGCCAGATACAAAGACTGGCAGGAAGTCTGGTATTAGTCAATTTGAGGGACCTTGCTTTCTCCTCCTGGGTTATGTAAGAAGCCTGGTTTAATGTGACCCAGGACGGTGGGGTCAGGGCATGCCCTCTGACGTCACCACGATTGTGTTTCTCCTTGACCAGGCCTGTTTGAAGCCCTTGAAGATGGGCAGTTCCACTGGTTAAAAGGACCAATCCTAGAGGCTCTCATTTCAAAATAATGGAATTCTTTCCCCTCCATCTTCTTCTCTTCTAGTGGATGACAAGTGAAACTTTCCCTCTCTCTCTCTCTCTCTCTCTCTCTCTCTCTCTCTCTCCCCACACACACAAACACACACAAACACACACACACACACACACACACACACACCCCACCCCCACACACACACTAAATCAGGTCTTCTTTTTTTTTTTGTTAGCAATTCTTTATTTTTATTATTATTTTTTTAATGTTTTACTTTAGAGTTTTTCTTTAGTTTAAAACTTTATTTTCTTCTTTATTGAAAACCAAAACATTAAATAAAATAACCAATTTTTAAACTTTTAGTGTCTTTCTGCTTTATCTTTTTTTTTTTTTAATCAATCTTTATTGTTCATATTGTTACAAAGGTTCCTCATTTCTTCCCCCCTCCACCAGGTTCCCACCCCACCCTCCGCCCCCTCCTCATCCCCCATTGTCCTCATCCATAGGTGCAGTTTGTGTTCAGTCTCTTCCTCCCTCCCTTTCCCCTATAGTAAATCCCTTTTCAGATAGTAAATCAGTTACTTAGTATTTTCTCATATCAATAATACCACCACATGCCCAATGATACATTTCACACAAAAGACATTTCCAAATAGGTCAACCAGCCTCATCCAGGCCCCACCCAAGGCACTCACAGATCAACACCCCAGCACTGTACTAACTCAACACATCCAGATCTAAGCCTTCATCACTTGATTCAGCAGACCCTCAAGTTCCCACAAAAGTTTCCAGCTATGTCTGAGAGGCAGCCATGAGGCAGGGGCAGGCGAGGAGCGAGCTGTTCCGGGCCTGGCTGCTCCGGGCCTGGCCTCTGTTGCTCTGGTTCATTCCACAACCAGCTGCTCTGGGTCTGGTCACCGCCGCTCCCGACCTATTTGCTCTGGACCTGGCTGCTGCTGCTCCGGGCCTGGCCGCACCCGACCCGGCTGCTCCGGGCCTGGCCGCTCCCAGCCTGGCAGCCGCTGCTCCGGGCCTGGCCTCGCCAGACCCGGCTGCTCCGGGCCTGGCCGCTCCCAGCCTGAAATCAGGTCTTCTTATTCTAATCCCATTGCATCTCTCAACCTTGTTCCTCTCCAGTTTCACTTTTAGGCCTTCATCATCTCTGGTCTCTGACTCCAGTCTTGTCCCTCTATAATCAATCTCCAGGATTCTTAGTCAGTGTAGTCTTTCTAAACCACAAAATGATCATGTCTCTGTCCAGCTTAACCTTTTTCATGGTTTCTCATTGCCAAGTCCAAGCATGCATGAGAAACAAGGTCCCATTTGTACTTGTGCACCTCTTTTGTTTCTGTGCTTTCCACTGTGTCCTGTACCCCAGTCCAGGGAATACTTCATATCTTCCCAAATGTAATTTATTTCCTTTTTATCTGTATTTATGGATTCTTTGATCTCTAATTCTTGAAAGGACCCTTTTCTGCCAAGTGCACACCTATCCATAACTGAGCATTTAGCTTAAACATCATCCTCTTCTGACTGTTCACACCTCAAAATGGGGACTACCTTCTCCTGGGAGAGTAAGCTGGGGGCATGATTGAGTAGGGATGACCTTGGCGAAGCTGTAACTGATTTCTAGTTCATCTTTGAAGGTAATAGTTCCTTTCTACTACTTTTCCCTAGTCTCCAGCTTTTGTATCCAGAGAAGTCTTTATCTCTCTTCCTCCTTTTCAATGCTAGCTATTTAGAGAGGAGCAGGTTTCAGCCTTTTTCACTTGAGTTTGAAGTTACGTAAACAACAGTTACGGCACCTGTTGAATCAATGAATTTTTTTCAGAAAATAGCATGGGGCCAGGGACTGTGTTTGTGTTGTTTGTTATATCCTCAGTGAAAAGCAGCTGGGTAGGTGCTCATGATGGTTAATTTTATGTGTTAACTTGGCTGGGCAACAGTATCCTGGTATTTGGTTAAACATTATTCTAGATGTTATTACTGGTATGAAGGATGTTGTGTGTGTGTGTGTGTGTGTGTGTGTGTGTGTGTAGGTGTGGGGTGGGGGTTAATATTTGAGTCAATAGATTTTGAGAAAAGCAGATTACTCTCCATCCTTTTTTTTAACATTTAAAAAAATATATTTTATTGATTTTTTTTTTTTTTACAGAGAGAAAGAGAGAGGGATAGAGAGTTAGAAACATCAATGAGAGAGAATCATTGATCAGCTGCCTCCTGCACAACCCCCACTGGGGATGTGCCCACAACCAGATGCCCTTGACCAGAATCAAACCCTGGACCTTTCAGTCCACAGGCCGATGCTCTATCCACTGAGCCAAACTGATTTCTGCTACCCTCCATTTTGTTGGAAGGCTGGCTTCTTCTCCACCTTTATAATCTTTTTTTTTTAAAATAACTTTTTATTGTTCAAGTTATTACAATTGTCTCTCCCCCCCATAGCTCCCCTACACCCAGCCGCTGCCTTTACTCCCCCCAACCCCCGCACTGCCCTCATCCATAAGTGTATGATTTTTGTCAAGTCTCTTCCTGCATCCCCCACATCCCTTCCCCGCCCCGAGAATTGTCAGTCCACTCCCTTTCTATGCCCCTGATTCTATTATATTCACCAGTTTATTCTGTATATCAGATTTTTTATTCACTTGATTTTTAGATTCACTTGTTGATAGATAAGTATTTATTGTTCATAATTTTTATCTTTACCTTTTTCTTCTTCTTCCTCTTCTTAAAGAATACCTTTCAGCATTTCATATAATACTGATTTGGAGGTGATGAACTCCTTTAGCTTTTTCTTATATGTGAAGCTCTTTATCTGACCTTCAATTCTGAATGATAGCTTTGCTGGATACAGTAATCTTGGTTGTTGGTTCTTGCTATTCATCACTTTAAATATTTCTTGCCATTCCTGTCTGGCCTGTATAATTTCTGTTGAGAAATCAGCTGACAATAATATGGGTGCTCCCTTGTAGGTAACTAACTGTTCTTTTCTTGCTGCTTTTAATATTCTCTCTTTGTCTTTTGCTCTTGGAATTTTAATTATGATGTTTCTTGGTGTGGTCCTCTTTGGATTCCTTTTGTCTGGCCTTCTCTGTGCTTCCTAGACTTGTAAGTCCATTTCTTTCACTAGCTGGGGGAAGTTTTCAGTCATTATTTCTTCAAATAGGTTTTTAGTATCTTGCTCTTTCTCTTCTGACACCCCATAATTTGGATGTTGGTATGCTTGAAGTTGTCCCAGAGGCTTCTTACACTATCTTCATATTTTTGGATTCTTTTTTCTTTTTGCTTTTCCAGTTGGGTGTTTTTTTTGCTTCTTTGTATTTCAAATCTTTGACTTATTCTTGTGATCCTCTAGTCCACATGTGTCAAACACAAGGCCCGCGGGCCAAATCCGTCCCGCCAGGCCTTGCAATGTGGCCCGCACCGCGCTGTCATCACTGCACTCCGCTGCGTTTCCATCACAATGACAGTTTATGACTGTTCAGTAAACCATTCGGCCCGCGATTTAGGCTGGATTTTAGATTTTGGCCCCTTCTCTGATTGAGTTCGACACCCCTACTCTAGTCTGCTGTTGGATCTCTGTATATTGTTTATTTCAGTCAGTGTATGCTTAATTTCTAGTTGACCCTTTTTCATATCCTC